ATTAATCTGAACCCTATTTATGAGTTTACAAAAAAACTTTGTACATATTTTTTCTTAAGAAAATACTTTGATTTTATGCCAGTAATATTAATCATATCTAATAATCCATGACTCACAGAAGTACTTTTTATGTTAGGCAAGAGTTTTCAAATTAAATCTTATAGAATTTATAGCTATGTTTGGGCATGCTGAAACTGTCCTATGTGAGTACATTGAGAGGTGGAATAATCCTGAGGGGGGAAAAAAATCCCTCAACCCCAGAGCCTGCTGACTGAGTCATTCCGCATGAGTTCACTGCTTATGAGAATACAAGTTATCTCATTGTTTAACTTATTCTTTCCCCAAACATTCTCAGAGTGCTTATTATGTGTACAGCTTTCTGCTATCACCTTTAGAAAACCTCAAAAAGTGCTTTACATTACAGATGTTGGACACATGCCTGTGGAGATCATCTCTGACCATTTTCAGTATGACCTTTTAAAATGAAAATCTTGATGTTCTATCCATATTTATGAAATCTTTGGGGGAAGGGTTCCTCTGGATTGTAAATTTGTGATAAAGGCAATTTTACAGAAATAAATGTTTGCAATTCTAAAAAAAACATAGTCCAATAGTTCACGTATGTAAATTATTTCATTTAATTTCCCACAATACTCCATGAGAGAGGTGGTACAAGCCTTATTATCCCAATAAAGAGACTTCTCCACAGTCTCAGGACTATTCAGAAGGTCATGAACCATGGCTAGAAATTCAGGTCACCTAATTCTAAGTCTACCATTCTATAAAACCAAGGGAATTGAGAATATTTATATCTAAAAGAAAACTAAGTACTTATTAAAAAACAGCTACTGTCGCTATGGAAAACATTGATAACCAGTTTGGTGATGCAGTGAATACCAATTAAAGAAATATGCCTCTTGGTTAAGAGTGCAATTATAGTGCCCTTTAACAGATAATATTTATCAAACACTTACTGTGTACCAGACACACTGCTATAGGCTTTATTCTCATCATCATATTGAAGCTTTCAGAGAAGCTCTGAGCAGTGGAGCGATTTTCCCAAGTTCAATATCTAATAAGTGGTTGCACAAGGATTCACACGATTCTGTACTGTTCCCTGTGTAGGTTCTATTTATCTATTCTTTATGTGCTTTTTTTCCACTGCCTTCCTCTATAGTCTTTTCTATTTTTCTTTCCTCATTTATTTGTGAAAATAAAAGGGTAGCAAGGGGTATTTTCAGCCACAAAGTAGGGATGCTATTCACACATACATTAACTTCCTTAATGATCATTAGCTGCATGGCTTTCTGGCTTGGCACTGGGAATACATACAGTGGACCTTGAAGGACACCTTCCAATTAGTGAGTGCTACTTGAAAGACATGAGCCAGGTTACACTGCAACATAACAGGGGCGTGTCTAAAGGAGTCAAGGAAGAATCCACAAAGTCTTGACCAATCTGATGGCCTTTGAGCTATGCCAGAATGTCTGCAGTTAAAGAAGAGAGAAAGAACTTGTGCAACAGAACAAAAAGCCATGCAAGATACAGAGGCAATGGAAGAAGTCCTAAGTTCAGGCAGCTAAGAGGTTGATGTTAGAGAATGCACAGGATCCATTTGCAGGAGATAAAAAATCTTGTATGTCAAAGTAAAGACTGGACTCTTTCTTAAAGTCAATAAAAATCAGCAGACATGGAACAGCAAAGATAAATAAAGTTGCAGTTCTTAGGAATATAATCGACAGTGTTATGGTGGATGAGCAGGAAATTTAGTCAAAATAAATGCTGCTAAAGGATTTGGGTGGAAAGACATCATTTCCCTGTTTTATTTCAAAATTGTAAATAAAAGTCAGGATAATATAGCAACTGTTCTAATAAGATTTTGTGACCAGGACATGTAAATGACATAGACATGCTGCTGTTCTCTCAGCCTCTTCTTTAAAAGCATGTATTCACTTAATGACACACATTTAACTTCCACGGGGTGGGGGGGGGCATATGTCATGCTTGGTGTTGGAGCCCTGTATGAGGTAGGCACTGGTAATGGGGAAGTTCATTTGAAGCAACAGGTAACAGGAATTATTTATAGTGGCAAACAAAGCAGAGAGAGAAAAAGACAGAAAATAAAGCAAGTGTCACAGTAAACAAGAAGAGAGAGACTAACTCCTGAGAGATAAAAAGGAGAAATGAGTTTTAGGTTTAAGAAACCAAGCATCTGCTGTAAGTAACCATTTCATTAAAAGAGCACTAAATTGCAGTGGTTCTCTCTCAGGGAACTGCATACTGTGGGCTGAGATTAAGGATAATGGGCTCCCACATGAATTCTTCTCATTACTTCTCTTGAAAGAACAGTAAATCTACTGAAAGGGTAATTTAGGTTTAGTGTTCACAAACCATTCATTTTACTTTTAATCTTTTCTGTTTAGGATTTGAAAAATATGCTCCAGATATAATTCAAAGGACAGGCCCCAAAATTAGATGATTTTTAACTCTTCAATAGTCTTTTAATTGACAAACATGTGAAAGGCCTAGAGTTTTGCTCCTCATAGATGTGTACAGTGCTTTGGCCAGTTTATACAGCACTGCACACTATTAATTGCAAGAACCAAGCAAAGGACAGCAAAGAAAAGATAATTTATTCCTTGCCCACCTGCATTCTTTGGACTTTTATGTGATTTTTAATTAAGTCTCTTCCTCATCCCATTAGGTATCACCTTAAATGTAACTCCAGAAAAAGGAAACGGTTTAAGGACATTTTCTCAGGACAAAAATAAATAAATTATCTTTCTCTTCTCATGATCATAATGTATCCCAAAATGTATCAATAAATTTAATAAAAAAATGAAACAAATTGTCAGGGAAGAAAAAGTTGGTGAAATGAAAAATCAAATTATTTAATTGTAGGAATGTATTTTACTAAACAATTTTAAATATGACCCTGAACAATGCTTTATAATCAGTATATTTTATATTGCCAAAGTGCTACCAGCATGGTTTGTAGTACTATATTAAAAACAAGCAAAAGACTACAACAAAACATAGAAAAAGCTGGCAGTCTTTTATTCAGATATTGTTATTGAAAAAATCCAACTGCCCTCAATTTTCTGTGGTCTTTCCTGTTCTTTACTATTAGACAAAGGTCCCATCCTGGGTCAATAATGTCACACTGGTTCCTGATTAATTTAACTGAGTGCTCCATTAAATGAGCTCCTCAGTAATCTTGGGGAAAGAAACTAAGGTGATCCCACACTAAACATTAGAGTAAATATATAAAAGCCCTTCAAATAGTTTCAAATTTTGCTGATTTGAAACCAATTATTTATGTTTACAAGGGTTTTTTCCTCATTAAAAAGAGCAATAATTTTAAAGTTTTCTTTTCAGATTTGAAATGAAAATTTTCATCTATTGAAAATGAGAAGATTTGTTTTAGAATTTGAGAGTAACATTGTAGCCTAAGGAAATTAGCAGTGTACGACATTCATTGGACAAATATCACATTCCTTGAAATAATTGTTATGACATTTTAATGGAATCTCACCATGAAGCATTTCCTTGTAAATGACTAAACTGGACCATGTCTTAACAATTATTTCATGAGAGAACACTTCAATGACCTTAGAAAGTTCTGATCAAAAGACTAACAGGAAGGGTAAAAAAACAATACCAGCAAGTAATAGTCTTAACATAACATATAATAAAGTAATTCATTAAAAGAAAAATATACTGTTTGGTACAACATATCTCACAATGACTTCACATCCTTTCCAGAAAGAAAAAATAAAAAATCCAAAGGATTTCTAGAAATTAAATTTGTGCTCATCATTTTCATAAAACCCATTGGTCATTTCAACACAAAGGCAAACAGTGAAGTTCTTAAATAATTGTCAGTATGCCGCCCTTTAAGAACATACTTTTAAGGTAATTCACTTTAATTTTATCAAAAACTAAAAGATATCTAATCTGGGGTGATTATGACTTTCATTGAACATTTTTCATGTGCTCAGTGACTGCTGGAGAAAAGTTTTTATTAATTTGAAGATTTTTTAAGCTGCATACATCTTCCCTCATTCAAATTAATTGTTCTTGGATTGTCACATGAAAAGTGAGGAGTTATTGCAGTTTTTCTTTATCTTTATAAAAAACATATCTCATGAGTTATTATAAATACTGATCTTTATATGAAACCAGTAAACTTGTTTTCTGAGAGAGTCAACAAAAGTCTTGAGTAACGAAAGGTTTGTATCAGTCATTCTAAAGTCATCACTGATCCCATGAACATAAACATCAAAAAGATACCTGCCTGGTATTTATTGATCTCCCTAAACTGCAGTATTCTTTAACTGTGCTTTAATCATCTCGCTCCCCAAATGAATCAGATGCTTTTGGCCTCCTTTGTGTTTGGTAACCACATTAAAGATTTAAGATGACTTTCTCCCTGATGATGGTGGTTATGGGAGGAAATTATCTTTGTTAAATAAAGATGTGGCTTTGGGACCAGCAATCTTTCACCTGAACACTGTCTTTTTCTGTTGCCCACAGTGTACTTACAAAAGGAACCATTCAACGAGAGCCTCAAGAGATAATCTTTTGACAGCTACCTTCTCATAATTAATTTCCCACAAGTTGCTATTTCTTTCAATACAGTTTTCTTGCCACAAAAATAAGCCTGTCTCTGAATAACAAAGCAGTCATTTTTGCTTTACCGATTATTTTTCTCATAATTTTAGAAATATGAGTTTGTGTATATTTAAATATTTCTTAACTATCTTAGCTGCTAAATCATTATATGCAAGAGTAAATGTTCAAACTCTTTATTAACAATTGTTAAAAACACAACTGCCATGTATTCCTTAAGAGAGGGCATGTTTGATATCTGAATTGTTATCATATAAACTGTAAGGCTGAAAATAGGCCCTTGACTGAATATGCAAAGTTCCCCCTTAAACCACCTTGAACTAGGCAGATTTGCAACATTTTAAACTGGCACTTCATCCCTCTTTCAGCAAGCATCCTCTGCAGATTTAATGATCAGGAACATCCTTCTGATGCATGCTGGGAGATATGGCTGCAGGGTACAGACCACAGCAGACAGTGTGTCAGATGAGGCAGAACTTCTTGTTAGGGGTGAGTATGCTAATAGTGCAGTCTGAAGACATGATCACCATAAATTATCATACAAAGGAATTTAAATGCATGGACTTTGAGCACATCAGTACTGTGCATTTTACTTTCAGTTTTACAATATATGTCATTTTTGCTTAACCTTTTGCCTTTGAAAACATTATCTGAAAACTGCTCCTCAGTAACAGACAAAATCAACAGATCCAACTTTAGGGTCCAAAACACTTTCAGTAATAGGCGGTCACTAAGTGACAACCAATAGTACCAAGCAGGAACTCTTAAACAGGAGAGCTACTTAGACTCTTGAACTATAGAGATGAAATTTGTTTGTGTATGTGTTTTTCAAGTCCTAAGCTAGTGGAAGCCCCAGGCATTTTTTTTCTTCCACTAACTGCTAAATCCAGCTACCAAAAACAAGTAAACTGTGTATATTGATTACATTTACAATTGTTAAGTGACAGGGACATTTTAAAAGGCTAAGAATGTCAACACACAGACTCCAAATAGACATGGCAGTTAAGTGGTTATCAGTTATGAGCCAGACCACCAAATTCTGCAGTCTTACGAAGCTACATCTTATTGCAATTAGGCCAACAGCTAAAGCATCCATTTCCTGCAACACAGTATCCCCCAGTGAGAGAAATGGAGATCCTAACATGCATTGCCTTTCCTTCCTTTTAACCTACCTCCATCCTTTTCTTCATTTCTTTTTTATTCTCCCTGGCCTCTTTTTTTTCTTTCAGCTTTTAATTAATTAAAAATATACTTTCAGGCATCTTCTAAAATCAAATGTGTGCAGGTACACAACTAAACATACAGTAACAAAACCAACATATCACATAGCTACCATATAAATCAAGAATTAAAATGTTACCAAAATCCTACCTGTATTCCCATTTTTATCTTCTACATTATGAATGATATGTTTTGCATGCTCAGACACCTTATACTGTTTCTACATGTAAAAAACAATTCTAAGCAAGCAATTATATTTTAGACTGACTCAACTTTTATCCAAGTGAAATGTTCTACTGTTATAATTTTAAAGAAATTATTATTATAAAAATCTTGTACAATAAACATATGGCATATAGTGAGCTCCCTCATCTCTGTTTTAGCTGTACATATCGGCAAATGTTTATTGATATTTTGGTAATGCACCCATTATTTGGTTCAAAAATGCTTTAAATGGAGAGTGTATTGAGTGAGTAGCATCTTTTTTGTGTGTCTGTGTCTGTTGAGAAGACTGCTTGATCTCCTATCCAAATTTATATCTAGAATGTGTATTGCATTTCTTTATTATAAAACATCAAGTTTTAAAGCAGTCACCCTCACATACATTCCATTTCAGTTAGCTAAAATTTTCCCTTTGGACCCTCTGAAGTTACAAGGCTCATGGACCTGCAAACTCTACACTGCAGTCAAATTTATAGAAAATGGCTTTCTTTGCTTGCTCTTGTCTACCTTAGGTTGTGTCTATTTCTGGTGTGCACTTGCCTAGTAATTTAGAATGATGCTTCTAAAATTGGAGCTTTCCAAATGAATACAATTTAGAGACTGATAACCAGAAAGCAGATATTTTTTCAGGACTACAAGAAGCAAATTTAAGTGGCAAGCTAACATTCTGCTTTGTAAGTAAAATTAAACTCAACAGGATTTGAAACATAATAAAGGTTCAACTTTTTCATGTTCTGCTCTTTTAGCCTTTGGCTTCATGCCCAGGAGATGATAAAATGCATAAATTTTGGAATTATACCCAATATCAATTTCGAACAGGTTGCTATTGTCTGAATATTCATGTAGCATTCAGTGCAAGCTTTCTCTTGAAGTGAGTTTGATCAAGTCACCAATTTTTTATTATATACTTGTATTACTTTTCTAAAATTAGGAAAAACATCTTGCATCTTCTGCCTGACTCATCGTAGATAGACTGAAAAACAGAACTAAGGATTCTGGTTTTTATCATTATTATTATTCTCATTATTATTTCCATTATTATTATTAATGCTAACAGTTTCTGGTGAAGGAAGGAACTTGATACTTTAGTATTGCTATTTTAATACTGACTAAATAAATTACAATTCTAAATAGTCTTACACTCCTCCAAGATCCCTTATTCCACTCTTGCATTTGCTGCTGTGTAAACTCAGGGCATTCCTCTAGTACAGGCCATACACCCAAAACCAAGCATTCTGTATGTGGCTTTTCTAATGAACAATTCTGCAGAAGAATTCTCAAAACATACTTGTTCAAATGTGTGTCACCAAAGGGGCAAACCAAGCATTCTGTGTGGCTTTTCTAATGAATAATTCTGCAGAAGAATTCTCAAAACATACTTGTTCAAATGTGTGTCACCAAAGGGGCAAGATCAAGGACAGTTCCACCATCTACCTACGTGTAGATTAACATCACTGGATTGAGCAGTTCACTTCAGTTTATCATACTTGGAACACAATTCCAATATATTATTGGATATATATTCTTGCAATCCATTTCAGTGGGGAGCTAGGGGAAAATTTTATATTCTCCTATATGAATCAGATCTTTTTTTTTAGTTCAAATCTCTTTTTATTGTCTTATTTACCTTTAAATATGCTCTAAAAATTATTATGTGCATCTTACCAAATCCTCTACTTCTTTACCTAGATTTACCAACACACTAAATTGGAGTTCAGATGTGGGATCACATGATGTCTCCGTTGCTTCTACAGAACTTGAATATTCCTTGAGAGTAGGGCTTCTTGATACTGTACCCATTCATTATTTAATGGGCTACCTTTCCCTCAAATGCTTGTTTGCCTTTTTCTTTATTTTGCTTATGGATATCAGTGCTATCATTTGCTTCTATTCCACTATTATCATTCCACACAAAAATTGGATTTTTCATAATTATCGGAAGCATAAAATTACAAGCTCTCACACATTTAATTTTAAGTGAACCAGGGCTGAGGATTTAGCTCAGTGGCTCCATCACCTGCCTCGCAAGCACAAGGACCAGAGTTCAATAACTGGTACCCCTCACCCCAAAATTCAGCGAACCAGTATTATCATAACACCATGAATACTATAAAAAATAGAAGTGATGAATACCCTAGAAGAAACTGTTGTGCTATATTATAAAAAGGAAACTAAAACTACCGCTGAACATCACTGCATGATTTTCATCACTTAAATTGGCTATAACAACAGAGAAATTGAGGCTAGACAATCCTAAGTGGAACCTCTTTAAAGACAGATGGAACTCTATCTTGTTATCCAGGGAAAAATGATAGACCATTAAGAGATAACCTCACTGAAGGAGACATACAATTTATAAAGAAGTGATACTCCCAAGCAATATGAGAAGTGATCAAACATAATATAAAAGACTCCCGAGAAAGATGTGTTTGTTTTTTGTTATTTTATGTTATTTTACAGAAATGAATGTTAGATTCCCAAAGCAAAGATAAGGGTAGGACACTTTCATGTTTTAAAGAATAAAATGTGCTTAGCTAAGATAGAATAACTGGGAGTCAGACCTTGAATTACTTTTATTCTGCTCAGAAACAAGAGGAAGTAATTAAAAATCTACTATTCATACAACATTGTAATCATATTTCTCTTACTCCTAGTGCAAAAACATAGGTCAAGAAACAGTAATCAAAGAAGAATCAGTAATTTCTTAGTTTCTTCTGAATGCATAGTCTCCCCTCTAATTTGAACAATTTTTATTCTCTGAACCACTACTTATAAGATGAATCTGACATATATTTAATCGAATCTCACTGAATTTGAAAAGAATGGCTCCTCCTCAGGATACAAGTTGTGGGGAGACATCTAGCTGCTCTTAACCATGTACTGCCAAATCTCCCATCCCATTATTTCATATTTCCACCAGGATTCAACCTGTCCTTCAGTCTAGTTGTCCTTACCTTTCTAGTCTCTTCACTTCCATTTTTTCTTTCCAAAAACTGTCCTTGACTATTCATAATCTTTCCCACAGCAGCTGATGCAGGTGCTATCACTCCCCCCCCAAAAGGAAAACTAATGATCTGAGAAAATATATTTCTAATACATTGTCAATGGATGCAGAAGTAAAGCAATAGTAATATGCTATGCGCATTTCTCACAACACTTACTCTGGCGTTCCATGAATATTTTAAAATGATATATTTATTTTCAGCCGCTGACCACTGAAAGTTTCATGTGGTCCTACATGTGAACTGCAATTTAGTGTGTTCATTAATGTGCACAAATGTGCAAGTTGGGAAGGGCAGAGCCACAGCTTGCACATGCAGGTATAGAAAAGGAGGAGGAGCTCTGTAATAGTCTGAGGAGCGGGCAAAAAACAAAACCATGCACAAGTATTTACACAAGTGTCCGTGGAAGACAGTGTTTTTATAGTTTTCCTTACTGTCATTGATCTAGTGTGCAATGATCTCATTACACTTGCATAGGCCTTCAAAGCAAAGATTCAAAAGTTTTTAATTTAAAAAAATCTAATAACTATGAAAACCAAAGCTGCATTTGCCAATATGTTGATATCTAGAAGATGAAAGGACAATAACTAAGGTTTTCAGTGTAAATTTAATCTTAGTTGATAGTGCAGATACAGTTGCAAATAATTTGTGATTTATGGCAAAATGCTGTTATACAGTTAATATAATTGCCTTGATAACATTTTTTAAGCTGTAAAATGGAAGCATTAAGTTCTTCAAGAAAATGTAATCTCATTACTGGAATATTTTGCGCCATTTAGAAATATTACATCACTAGTGTTGGATACGATTAAATACTTCATACCAATCACTTGATTTGCTAGCTTAGCCTTCTTCTACTTAAATTGCCTTGATACCTATAAAATTTTTATATACATTAAGCCATTTATTTTGTCTTTCAGTTTTCATGTTAATCTGAGAAACTTCTAATGACTAAAGGTAAATATTTTGTCAATCAGGTATTTAAATTTGCTTCATCACTTTTAGTGTGGCCAATTGAAGTAAACAACTGAAGTTACCTGAATG